ACGAGGACAACCCCTCGCAGGGGGTGTTGGAGCCTTTACTGGCTGATAGGGGCGATTGAGTGGGTGACGGAGCAAATAACGGAGCGGGGGTGTGGAGGGGGGCTGGGGGGAGGGAGAACCCCCGTATCTTTACACGGTTTTCCCCGGCCCCGAAAAAAAGGCGCGCTGGCATATGCTGACGCAAAGCTGTAGTCCCAAATGGCCCCTGGCCAGCTTGACTTTTTGGCCAATAGCGACATACGGGTAGTTTCTTCCTCGGGGCCCTTTCGAAAAATTGCCACACCGCCCAGTGGAAACTTTTCCCCCGCTACTCCTTTCACTGGCTGCTGCTCTTCCCGTGCACACCGGGCCCCCTACGGCCCGGGTGGTAGGCTGAGTGGAGCTGGTGTCTCTCCGTGGCCCGTTTGGCTCCTGCACTGCTGCGCCCCGGCCCCTGGGCAACCCACCGCGTTTTGCTCGCGGGGAAGCTGGCACCTCTTCTTGAGTGCGGGGCAATAGCCTGAGACGACGGGTGCCAAGTGCGATCAGCTCACATACAAATTTGGGTCTCCGGTCACTACTGCCCCCCCTGGCTGCGTGTGGGTTTAGGAACAGCCTGTCTCTAGACCCGGGTACGAGCCATCTCCTCCGTACTTCTTCGCCTGGCTGCGAAGGGCGGTGTTCCCCCGTTCCTGACCGCCCTCTGTTAGCTTTCCTATGTACAGTGGGGGTGAGCCCCCAGCAGCGATACTTTGCTTTGGGGAGGGAAAAAACCAAAGGAAGGGTCGAGGACACGTGATTTCTGTGGGCTTGCTCCCTGGGCTCTGTCCAACTACGGTTGTGTTACTTACCCACCGTCCGTTGGTGTAGGCTGTCAGAGGTGACCTGGAAGTGGTAAGACGACCGAGTCAACCAATCGATGACGGCAGGGTTGTCGGTGGAGACACGACACCGCTGGATGACACCTCGGGAGCACTGGCCTCTGGCTGCGACTAGTGCTGCCACGTCGTGCTCGCTCCTGAAACAATTGCCTCCTCTGCCACTCCTCTGCATGTTGTCAGACATACTCTTTTAATTCAATAAGCACCCCATAAAATAAAACCGGATTTAACTCTTTTGAACGTACAATAGTGGTTGTGAAGCAGAAAGTCAGTTTATTGTACACAATTCGGTCAAATGCAGCTCTTGCCTGGTTGGCTGGAAACTGTACGTTTAGGTCACTGGAATGCACTAATCACCCAAAAAAAATTACGCCCAGCCTAGCCGTGTAAAATGGATTTAACTCTTTGAACATACAATAGTGGTTGTGAAGCAGAAAGTCAGTTTATTTAGCACAATCGGTCAATTGCAGCTTGCCGTTTGGCTGGAAACTGTACGTTTATGTCACTAGGAATGCACTAATCACCCAAAAAATTACCGCCACCCGCGTGTAAATGGATCTAACTCTTTGAACGTACAATAGTGGGTTGTGAAGCAGGGAAAGTCAGTTTATTGTACACAATCGGTCAATTGCAGCTTGCCGTTGGCTGGAAACTCTGTACGTTTGTGTCACGTGGTGGAATGCACTAATCACCCAAAAAAATATTACCGCCAGCCGCGCTTGTTGTTGTTGTAAATGGATTTAACTCTTTGAACGTACAATAGTGGTTGTGAAGCAGAAAGTCAGTTTATTTTGCACAATCGGCAAACTGCAGCACAACTGTGCACGACAAGCCACCAAAAAAAAAAAGGGTGTATGTCACTTTAAATTTTCGATTCTTTGATAGCTGTGGCCCTAAGTAACGATTCTGTGTCCCCTGAGTAACGATTCTGTGTCCCTGAGTAACGATTTTGTGTCCCCTAAAGTCTCCTGTGGCCCTAACTCTGTCCGTTAATACACACAGGTCTGTACCACCCCTCTCTTGAATGACCGGAGAGCTAATGGAGAATTCTAAGATGGCCGCGATTTATAGCTCCACCATTACACAGTGCTGGCTGGCTGCTGATTGGCTAATGCGATCACATGTCATGAATGCATTATGGGTCAGCGCGCTTGTCTGCGCGCCTTCCCAGAGATCCCCGCCCCATCTTCTCTGTCCATTTTCTCCGTCGCCACACATGTCGCCGCCATTTTTGGGAAAATTTGATTCGTGCATCCGAAGTTTTGCTAATCTTCGGATTCGTCGCGAATAGAATTTTTCCAAATCTTCGGAACGAATTCCACTTCGTCATGTTCGATTCGCTCATCTCTAGTTATGACCTCAGTTGATTTGGCTGAAAAAAAAGGTTTCATGTGTTTATCATTACGATTTTTGTGTTTCAATTGTCACAATACTTCCTTTTATTTCTGCTCATATATTGTCTGCATATCTGTTCCCTTTCAAATTGATGTTACAATATCTATTCCTTCTAAAACCTCCAACAACAATCTCAGAATAATAATTGAAAATAATAACTAGAAAATTTTAAACAGAATATAATATTTTGCATTGATCAGCTCTTGGATCTAGAACATATGTACAGTACATATACTGACCACAAGGTGAAGCTGTTGTCCAAGTGAAGCTTCTTTTTGTTTTTGCATGATTTAACCCTGTACTTGATAGCTTTCAGAATGCTCCATAGTAAACTGGCATACATTTTTCAGTTTAGTAGCCAAGAATATTGGTTGAAGACTCTGCACCTGCTGCAGTTCTCAAATATTTTAATAATTTTCTCATTATAGCCAAATAAACCTGAAAAGGAGAAAGATGCTGAAATTTGAATACCATTTTGAATAGGGGAAAAATTAAGCTGATCTCAGTTAAGTAGTGTTCTTGATTATTGATTTGTTTTATTAAGAGTAACTACAAATAATAAATACTGATCAATAACCCACATTAGGTAAAGTTTATATAAATTAAAAAGTAAACATTTATATATTGCTTACCAAGTCTTAGATGGGTTAGCTACATTAGTTATTTGGGAGGAGGGTATCTTTTGCTATATGTTTACCTGGTTATGTCTGTTGTTTTTCAACTTCCTTTAATAGACCAAACCAATCAGCAAAAGTGGCAGTTGAGACAAAACCATTTACATTAGAACTAAAGATATTTTTCACCCCTGCTAGGTTTTTTTTACCTTCTGTGTCCCCAATGGGTAGATTTCCCTGCACTTTATGTCCCATAGCCAAAACAAGAAAGGAGAGAAAATCACTCCTGGTTGTCACTAGGGTCATCAGATTGAGTGTCTCCATTGGACGAATTTCCTTCTATTCCTATCCTGGTGACAACCCAAAATGTGGGATCTTCTTTTACTCTCACTCTTGGTGATAAAAGTTGACAGGAAAAAAGAGAGGGTAAATCACCCTAATGGGGCGCAGACAGCAACAAATATATAACAGATTTTCTAATCCCTGTCCACTCTATCTAAGACTAAACCAAAGGTGAGCCTGTAGTTATACTTTTTAAACTTTTTGTTCTTATAACCTTTTCTCCAAACAAGTACATTCTAGGCATGCCTCTGGGAATAGCGGTGCACAGACAACTGAACGCAGTAAAGCAATTGAGTATTTACTAAGAGTTATTCAGTCAGCAGACAGTAAATAATGTTTATGGAGATACTTATTAATGTAACCACCACCTTGTTGAGCTGAAAGTCTGAACACAGGTGGACTTGGCAGAGATGAACACAATGATTCAAACAGTGTTTCAAATGTGCTCAGTGGTTGCCTTTGACCCAAAGTGTGAAAGGAAAAAGAAAATGTCAGGGCTCCCAGGTATGACCAGAGGTGTGTGACTGAAGCAGGGAAACGCAGACCTCAGATATGTTATAAACAATATAATTTATTAACACTAACAGTACAAACATAAACGCAGTGCAATACTAAACATAATACAGTGCAAACAAACCCAACCAACCACCCACAGATAACAGTACATACAAGCAAGCGTCGTCAGGCAGGCCGGGTCAATATCAATTGGGCAGGTAGGTACAGGGGGAGCAAGCGGAGAATGGTCGGGGTCACAGGCCAGGTTCAGCAGGTAGCAAGCAGCATAGTACAGAGGGTCAGGCAGAGGGATGGTCCGGGTCACAGCCAGGGATCAGAACAGGTAGCAAGCAGCGTAGTACAGAGGGTCAGACAGAGGGATGGTCCGGGTCACAAGCCAGGGATCAGAACAGGTAGCAAGCAGCGTAGTACAGAGGGTCAGACAGAGGGATGGTCAGGGTCACAAGCCAGGATCAGAGCAGGAGAAGTCAGCAAAGGAACAGAAACAGGATGCAGGATGCAGGACAGATACAGGGCCCAGGACAAACACAACACCAAGGCAGAGTCTGTGGGTCTGGCCATCCCTTAAATACCCCAGTATCATCAGTTACAGGTGTTAGCTGGCTGCAGAGTTGAGTCTCTGATTGCTGGGAACACACCCGCTGGCCAGCCCTGGTACTGCAGATCAAAAGGCAGGTGAGTCCCACCATTGCTGGCCAGTCCATTCCTAACAGTACCCCCCCCTCAAGGAGCGGCCTCAGGACACTCCAAACAGTCCTAGCTGGGCAAAATGTTCCACCGCCCGGGTCTGGCAACTGGCGGGATATCAAAGACTGGCACACCGGGCAGGACTCCGGGCAGCGGCACACCGGGCTGGACTCCGGGCAGAGGCACACGGGCAGAGGCACACCGGGCAGAGGCACACCGGGCAGAGGCACACATCGGGCAGAGGCACATCGGGCAGAGGCACATCGGGCAGGACTCCGGGCAGAGGCACATCGGGCAGGACTCCGGGCAGAGGCACATCGGGCAGGACTCCGGGCAGAGGCACATCGGGCAGGACTCCGGGCAGAGGCACATCGGATTACCAGGCGAAGCAGCAGGCAGCGGGCCACCAGGCGGTAGAGCAGCAGGCACCGGGCCCCGGGGCGGGATCAGCAGGCACCGGGCCCCCGGGCGGAGCAGCAGGCACCGGGCCCCCGGGCGGAGCAGCAGGCACCGGGCCCCCGGGCGGGGCAGCAGGCACCGGGCCCCGGGCGGGGGCAGCAGGCACCGGGCCCCCGGGCGGAGCGGCAGGTCTCGGGCCCTCAGGCGGAGCGAGCGGGCGCCGGACCCCCAGGCGGAGCGACAGGTCTCGGGCCCTCAGGCGGAGCGGCGGGCGCCGGACCTCCAGATGATGGATGGACCTTGGGATGGAGCGACAGGTCTCGGGGGCCCTCAGGCGGAGCGGCGGGCGCCGGACCCCCAGGCGGAGCGACAGGTCTCGGGCCCTCAGGCGGAGCGGCGTGCGGTGGCGCCGGACCCCCAGGCGGAGCGACAGGTCTCGGGCCCTCAGGCGGAGCGGCGGGCGCCGGACCCCCCGGGCGGAGCAAGCAGCAGGCACCGGGCCCCCGGGCGGAGAAGCAGGCACCGGGCCCCCGGGCGGAGAAGCAGGCACCGGGCCCCCGGGCGGAGCAGCAGGCACCGGGCCCCCCGGGCGGGGCAGCAGGCACCGGGCCCCCGGGCGGAGCGGCAGGTCTCGGGCCCTCAGGCGGAGCGGCGGGCGCCGGACCCCCAGGCGGAGCGACAGGTCTCGGGCCCTCAGGCAGAGCGGCGGGCGCCGAACCTCCAGATGGAGCGACAGGTCTCGGGCCCTCAGGCGGAGCGGCGGGCGCCGGACCCCCAGGCGGAGCGACAGGTCTTGGGCCCTCAGGCGGAGCGGCGGGCGCCGGACCCCCAGGCGGAGCGACAGGTCTCGGGCCCTCAGGCGGAGCGGCGGGCGCCGGACCCCCAGGCGGAGCGACAGGTCTCGGGCCCTCAGGCGGAGCGGCGGGCGCCGGACCCCAGGAGGAGCGACAGGTCTCGGGCCCTCAGGCGGAGCGGCGGGCGCCGGACCCCCAGATGGAGCGACAGGTCTCGGGCCCTCAGGCGGAGCGGCGGGCGCCGGACCCCCAGGTGGGGAGAGACAGGTCTCGGGCCCTCAGGCGGAGCGGCGGGCGCCGGACCCCCAGGTGGGAGAGACAGGTCTCGGGCCCTCAGGCGGAGCGGCGGGCGCCGGACCCCCAGGAGGAGCGACAGGTCTCGGGCCCTCAAGCGGAGCAGTAATTAAGTGGCAGGTGCCGGACCCCAGGCGGAGCGACAGGTCTCGGGCCCTCAGGCGGAGCGACAGGTCTCGGGCCCCCAGGCAGGGTGGCGGGCGCCGGATCCCCAGGCGGAGCGGCGGGCGCTGGACCCCCAAGCGGAGCAACAGGTCTCGGGCCCCCAGGCGGAGCGGCGGGCACCGAGTCACCAGCACGACAGTGGGCTCCGAGTCAACTGGTATGACCGCAGGCACTGGGTCAGACATTGTATGGTCTGGCTGGACAGCGGGCATCGGGTCACCAGGCATCAGGTCATTTGGCTCGACAGCGGGCACCGCGTCATCTGGCAAGGCAGTGGGCTCCGAGTCAACTGGTATGACCGCGGGCACTGGGTCAGACATTGGATCGTCTGACCGGACAGCGGGCATCGGGGTCACCAGGCATCAGGTCATTTGGCTCGACCGCGGGCACCGCGTCATCTGGCAAGGCAGTGTGGGCTCCGAGTCAACTGGTATGACCGCGGGCACTGGGTCAGACATTGGATCGTCTGGCTGGACAGCGGGCATCGGGTCACCAGGCATCAGGTCATTTGGCTCGACAGCGGGCACCGCGTCATCTGGCAAGGCAGTGGTCTCCGAGTCAACAGGCCCGACAGTGGGCACCGGGTCATCAGGTACCGGATCATCTGGATCAACAGCGGGCATCGAGTCAACTGGCCTAATAGGATCGTCAGGCTGGATCAGTTCATCATGCTGGGTAGAGGCATTAGGCCGAGTAGAGGCTTCAGGCCGAGAGTAGAGGCTTCAGGCCGAGTAGAGGCTTCAGGCTGCGTACAGGCATCAGTCTGAACCACGGAAGGCAGGTTCACCGGTTTGGATACTGGCAGGATGGTACTGGTTGGAAAGAATTTTCGCTTTTTCTGGTTTTAACTACTGGAGCACTGCAAGTAAACGCAGGTCTGCAAACGAATGGAGCAGCTGGAGAGACAGAGAAGAACTGGAGGATGGAACAGGAGAGGGAGCAGTTGCTACAGAGGGCTTTTTTACAGGGTTAAAGGCAGGATAGGTGCAGCGAGTGGGAACAGGGTACTGACATGCGGTAGATAGCCAAGTATACTGGGCTGTAACTGGAGGAGCTGGTGGGAATACAGGAGTAGAGTTAGAAGCAGGACTGGGTCTTTGTAAGCTGACTGAGGCTGGGTGCAACAAGTCTGTCCATGTCTGCAGTATGGGTTGAACAAAGCTGCGCTTACACAAAGTCTGTCTGGTCAATGACTGCACTGCGTTTATACAATCTCTTAGTGTCTGTGGTGAACATGCAGAATAACGCTCCAGAAAGTAACCCACATCATCTCTAATAACCACACCAGGGACTCTACCTGGTCTGCACTAAATGGTGGCAAAAATTCATCCCTGCATTCGGGGGAACCAGATGAATACCAACTCTGCACAAACCTCAATCAATGGCTGCACCTCAGAGAACACTGTGCCCTGATCTACTAGAACATGAGCGAGCCGTATACATTCTAGCAATTCATCCGGGTATACTCCTTCAGAGTTTGATAAGCATACTCCCTGTCATCAAACACTAGCAGATATAAATACTCAACCTCATCAAGATCCATCCTTCCCATCAACAAGCCAAGATGGCTTCCCTGTGCAGCCACTTCTGGTCAGGATTGGCCTTGGTGTAATGTCAGGGCTCCCAGGTATGACCAGAGGTGTGTGACTGAAGCAGGGAAACGCAGACCTCAGATATGTTATAAACAATATAATTTATTAACACTAACAGTACAAACATAAACGCAGTGCAATACTAAACATAATACAGTGCAAACAAACCAAACCAAACCACCCACAGATAACAGTACATACAAGCAAGCGTCGTCAGGCAGGCCGGGTCAATATCAATTGGGCAGGTAGGTACAGGGGGAGCAAGCGGAGAATGGTCGGGGTCACAGGCCAGGTTCAGCAGGTAGCAAGCAGCATAGTACAGAGGGTCAGGCAGAGGGATGGTCCGGGTCACAAGCCAGGGATCAGAACAGGTAGCAAGCAGCGTAGTACAGAGGGTCAGACAGAGGGATGGTCCGGGTCACAAGCCAGGGATCAGAACAGGTAGCAAGCAGCGTAGTACAGAGGGTCAGACAGAGGGATGGTCAGGGTCACAAGCCAGGATCAGAGCAGGAGAAGTCAGCAAAGGAACAGAAACAGGATGCAGGACAGATACAGGGCCCAGGACAAACACAACACCAAGGCAGAGTCTGTGGGTCTGGCCATCCCTTAAATACCCCAGCATCATCAGTTACAGGTGTTAGCTGGCTGCAGAGTTGAGTCTCTGATTGCTGGGAACACCCGCTGGCCAGCCTGGTACTGCAGATCAAAAGGCAGGTGAGTCCCACCATTGCTGGCCAGTCCATTCCTAACAGAAAGACTTCTCAGCGTCAGCCTGCTCCCCTAAAATCCTGATGCCACAGGTCCAGAAATAAAAATATACTTTGTAAGAGCTAAATAAATGAACTATGATATAAACAAATTCTAAACAGAGTCCCCCTTTAACATATGCTCAGATAAGGAACTAAGTCCTTGGCTTTAGAAGTGTCAAAGAGAGTCTTGGTGGAAGAGTGTCTTGGATCTTCAGCTAGCTCAATAAGGGCCCAAAGAGATTGCTGTGCAATGGCAACTGGCAACAGTGGATATTATGGGTAAATGATTCCTGGTGAGGATTACAGGTTTATAAGAAGACATGGGGTAAAAAGGTGTCTGCATGCAGTGTCCCTTAGTGAGGAGTGTACACAATGTGGGCTTCTGCCCGCTGACAAGTTCTGATAACACTGTGGCTCAATGGATGCAGGATGTCCTGGAAGGCTCCTGCAGAATCCGCAACCAGCGTGGGGCGCCTGGCCTAGTGCCTTGCGACACTGTGACAGTGCACGACTCTGGTTGGTCACTCTGCCAAACAGGAAGCTGGGGACAGATGATCTGCTTGCAGGTCTGTAGCTCACCTGGTAAAGATCCTCCACCCTGTCAGGACTGCGTGGCCTACTCAACTCTTCACAGCAGCCGGGTCCCTCTCTCAGCTTTAGCCCATAGTCCCAAGAGGAAGAGCTTTCTCCGGAGTCCAAAATATATATCCTCTCCAGCATTCTGCTTCTCTTCCTCCAGCAGGCTGGAAGTTGTAGTTCACAACATTATGGGTTCCTTGCAAACCTCAGCCTTCTGGACTATATCTCCCACAATCCCCATCTCCTTGTTGAGTCCTCCTCTCTTTCTCGGTGCCTCTGAACACAGTGTCACTAAACATTAGAGGGAGCATTAGTTCAACATATTTCGTATTATGAATATTTTGCGATAGCACAAGTTAGCCAGCACTGGGCTACAACAGTGACAGTTGCTAGTGTGCTTGTGTTAGCTCTCTGAACTGAATTGTCAAGCCCTCCCATGGCTGGTGTTATAGATGATCACCATGGCAACTGCAGATCAGGAGGCCAAGATGATACCTTCCTCAGACAAAAAGGCTAACTCAGTTTAGTTCCCATTTAACCACTCGCGGACCGGCGCTGTAAATCACTGTCTGCTTCTGGGTTTAGGGTGCACGCGCGCCCCCCCACTAGCGCCCACCGTTATTGTACACAGCAGGAGTCTATCAGCAAGTCCCAGCCAATGATTCATAGGCAGGACTTACTGACCGACTGTGTCCAATCACAGCCCAGAGCCCCGTGTTGACATTTAATATAGCGCTCTGTACAGAGCGAACAATCCTTCTGTTTCTCATCCCTTCAGAGCAGGAGACCTTTCAGTTATTGTCCAACCAGTCTGGAATGCAACTTTTCACCAACGCAAACTGTGGTGTGGCACTGGAACTCAGAGTCAGTCTATCTACTCTGCACTACACACATACAGCAGCACAGACCTAGCTAGGCACTGTGCATGTGAGATAAAGATAGAACAGAGATACTCTGTCACAAGAATTCAGATACACACTCAAGAAGCTATGGGCAGCTGCAGTAAAATTTTGTAGAACATACTTGCATGAGAGTCTCTGCTTCTGGTCAAGGTGAAATACAACAGCAGCAAGAGCTCCTGTCTGTGTAAGGACTCTTCACTTCCTCCTTTTGGTATTTTTAACCCAGATCCACACAGAAAGGAAGTGATGGACATACATAACTCACAGCACCTACAAATACAGACAGTTGAAGGCAGCAAATCTCTACAGTTTTGTTTTTTAAATAGAGTACGATGGCTATAACTCCTGTCTTTTTTTTTGGGGGGGGGGCTTCAATTGCTATACTGAAGACACAACAAAAAATCGGAGGACTGCAAAAGTAATACTTGGGATTTCCCATCACCTTCTGTACCGCTGTATAAAGTCACCAGGACAAATATAAAGGGTGAATCCAGAAACAACACAGACAGCATTTAGACACAATTAAACACAGTTGCATTAACCTTTTCCTACTGTATCCAAAAATAAAGAAAAAAGTTGTAGCTAAAAATACACATTTTCTAGAAAGTGTCATATGCAGTAAAGGAGCTCGAGTAGATAGTAAAAAACTGTGCAGCTTTGTAAAATGTTCATTAATTTTACTGTCATACCTTTAGGCCATTTGGACTCCCCTGAAAGCCTAGTCAAAAACTCTCAGTTAGGAATCCCCATGTCCTGCGTTGCTGTTAAGTTGCAAACACCATTGGTTATTAACTCTTGTAATGCTGGGAGTTAACATCCAACAAATGTTATGTCCTAGCAACTGGAGAGGATTGCTAACTGGAAGTTTTTCGGACATATTTCCAGTCAAAACGGCCTACAGGTATGAGAAAAAAAATGTTAATTTTACAAAGCTGCGCAGTTTTAATATCTACTGGGACCCCTTGACTGCATAGGCTATTGTTTGGAGAAGATCACTAGACTTAGCACTAGGTTTTTGATCGATCATAGTGGCTTGAAATCTGATCATGACTGAAACATAGATTCTAAAAACGTAAGATTATTGAAATTACTTACAGTATGTCCACTCTGAGACCATCTGTGGCCCTTAATAGAGTTTCTACACAAAATACTGAAGTGCCCCATCCTCAAAAGCTGGCATTCATGGACAATTGTGATGGTGACATGTAGATTTCCCATTATGTGGGAATCTGAGGGTTTTATGACATTATTAATATTAATGAGCTTTCCATTTAATATACAGTAGTACAATATTTATAGAAAGGAAAAAAATGTGGAATAAATTAACATTAAATATTTTGCTCTGTATATAGCTCACTTCCAGCTGGAATATCAACAAAAAAATATAAAATGAAAGTGCAAAATCTACTGCAAAAATGATTTTTATATTATAGAATTATTTTCTGTTAGCAAATGCAAAATATAAAGAAATGCTGTTTTGTTTCTTATTTTTTTGCTTTTCAAAAAATAATTTTCCTGCTAAATAAAAAACATATTGAGATACATTTACTAAGATTAGAGCAGCCAGAATCTGAAGCAGCTGTGCATGGCAACCAATCAGCTTTTAGCTTTTATTTTCAAAGCTTAAATGAACAAGCTGGAAGCTGATTGGTTACTTTGCACAGCTGCTCCAAATTCTGTCTGCTTCTCCAATATCATTTCAATTTCATTTAAAAATAATAGTATGTAGGTTCTAGTTGACAAGGTTTTGCAGACTTGGAACTGGGAATATCCTGAATGTGCCCATCTCTCAATACCTCCAAGATTGGTATCTTTCCTCATCAGCACTGTTCTAGTCCAGCCTTTCTCAACCAGGGTGCCTTGGGGTTTCTTCAGGGGTGCCTTGGCAAAATGTCTAAAAATTTCCCAAATCTTGTATACAATACAGTGGGTGGAACAAGCCTGCCTTTTAGTTACACAAAGCCAGTTTAATTGTGCACCACTATGACTTTCTAGCCAGCGGCCTGACAACCAATGACTTCATCAGTTGATAAGGAGCATGTCAGCTGCCTGCACAGCATCCTAGTTTGACCCTCCCCTGCCCCTCTCCATCAGTGCTGGGGTCACATTAGCTCAGTGGTGGAGAAAAACTGAGGGAGAAGAGAAACGTTGGAATACTAGTCAGTACCAGTGTGCAAAAGTGTATTTTCTTTGGAAGAATAAATCACCTAAAATGTTGGGTGTCCTACATGTGTGAATATGGGGTGCCCAGGGGTGGACTGACCATTCGAGCACTCGGGCCCGGGGTCAGTAGGGGGCCCCATGAAGTGCCACTGGTACCTTTTTTATAGGCTTTTTTGGGTGTGCTTTGAGTGTGGGCAAGGACACAGGGGCCCTGTGATCCCCTATTGCCTGGGGGCCCAATGAGTTGTAAGTCTGCCCCTGGGGTGCCCATTTAAAATTATGGATAGTCTAGAGACTCTAGCGGCACCATATTTTAAAATGGGGTGCCTCAAGACTGTCCATAATTTTAATGGGTGCCTCGGGACTGTCCATAATTTTAAAAGGTGCCTTGAGTGAAAAAAGGTTGACAAACACTGTTCTAGTCACACAAGTGGACGACTGAAGAATTCTTTCCCTGGTGAAGAAAACACCCTTCACAACAGTTGGCCAGATCAAGAACACTCTCCAGGAGGTAGGTGTATGTGTGTCAAAGTCAACAATCAAGAGAAGACTTCACCAGAGTGAATACAGAGGGTCCACCACAAGATGTAAACCATTGGTGAGCCTCAAAAACAGGAAGGCCAGATTAGAGTTTGCCAAAAGACATCTAAAAAAGCCTTCACAGTTCTGGAACAACATCCTATAGACAGATGAGACCGAGATCAACTTGTACCAGAGTGATGGGAAGAGAAGAGTATGGAGAAGGAAAGGAACTGCTCATGATCCTAAGCATACCACCTAATCAGTGAAGCATGGTGGTGGTAGTGTCATGGCGTGGGCATGTATGGCTGCCAATGGAACTGCTTCTCTTGTATTTATTGATGATGTGACTGCTGACAAAAGCAGCAGGATGAATTCTGAAGTGTTTCAGGCAATATTATCTGCTCATATTCAGCCAAATGCTTCAGAACTCATTGGACGCTTCACAGTGCAGATGGACAATGATCCAAAGCAGACTGCAAAAGTAACCAAAGAGTTTTTTAAGGGAAAGAAGTGAAATGTTATGCAATGGCCAAGTCAATCACCTGACCTGAATCAGACTGAGCATGCATTTCACTTGCTGAAGACAAAACTGAAGGGAAAATGCCCCAAGAACAAGCAGGAACTGAAGACAGTTGCAGTAGAGGCCTGGCAGAGCATCACCAGGGATGAAACCCAGCATCTGGTGATGTCTATGCATTCCAGACTTCAGGCTGTAATTGACTGCAAAGGATTTGCAACCAAGTATTAAAAAGTGAAAGTTTGATTTATGATTATTATTCTGTCCCATTACTTTTGGTCCCTTAACAAGTGGGTGGCACATATGCAAACTGTTGTAATTCCTACACCGTTCACCTGATTTGGATGTAAATACCCTCAAATTAAAGCTGACAGTCTGTAGTTAAAGCACATCTTGTTCGTTTCATGTCAAATCCATTGTGGTGATGTATAGAGCCAAAAATGGTAGAATTGTGTTGATGTCCCAATATTTATGGACCTGACTGTATGCATTGCTCCTTTGGCATTAGATTGTTACCTGATCCAGCCAAAGAGGGCTCCTGCACATTCATGATGGGTGAGAAGGGAGTCTACACCCAGTCAAATTCATTGTCAATCACTCTTGATGGAGTAAACTGAAACCTGTTTGTGATGGGTTCCCAGATCAAATCCCAGACAGGACACTATCTGCAAGTTCCGGTAGATTAATTTGCCCTGGTATGTGTATGTATGTGAGATGGGGACCTTAGACTTCAAGATCCTTGAAGGCAGGAACTCGTGTAAATGTACAGTATGTGAAGTGCTGCATAAATTGTTGGAGCTATATAAATACCTATAATTAAAAAAATAAAATAAATTCACATAACATTGCTTTCCTAGTATTCCTATATGTGCAGACATGATGCCTTGAAGTACAGCAATTGTTATTTACTAGTGATGGCCCATTTAGATGCAACACACATTTTGTTGCCGGTTGCTGCAACACACAGTAAGGCACAAATCTGAGCACATTTTTTTTAATGGCACTCCAACACACCTAGCCAGCGCATCACAATGCACCAGGTTTTCGTGCATAACAAAGCAATCCATTTGAGCATTGTGGTGTGCTGCTTTGTAAAAAAAAAAAACAGTGCCTACACATTGAAGTATGCTTTGTGGTGTATTGGAATGCACAATGAAAAGATTGACTTAACACAGTGCATGTTAATGTACAAAATACTGCATCTTAACACCCGTGCAGTAAAACAGTGTAATGCATCAGGACATCTTGTATGGGTCATGTTTCTAAAGATCTGCTGTTAGATCTGTGCGCAAGTGTAAAATCGTGTTTTTGTTATTGCAGTGATGCATTGCATGCTGCATAGTACAGTGCTGACGTAGGCATTGGAAGCCTGTTAGTCACACAAGCGACATATTTAACCGTGACGGTTCCTTGATGGAATTTATCCTACTAGCATAGCAATGTCCTTCCAGCAAAGAATACATTTCAATAAGTAACACTGAAACTCAGCAGAGCAATTCACATTTCCACTGGTCTCAGCTGGAAATGAGAATAGTCAAGGTCAGGCAATATCAGGCCTTATAAATTATTTCAGAGTGGTCAAGTCAATAAAATCACCTCTTAAAAAATAAATGTCTGCTATCTTTCTTAGAGCTTGTTGGCTTGTAATTGATTCTGATCTGTTACAGAGCTCAGGAGTAAACCAGAAAGAGTCATTCTGATCCATGTTTTTTTCCTAAGGCTGTACAAGCAGTACTGTAAGACACTGCAGTAAGCCTTCAAGATGCAATGCAGAATGCAGTATTTCATCTGCAAAGCCTGGACTTCACCTCTAAAATTTAAAGGGACACTGTTGTTACAATAATGAAAATATACAGCATTGTGTAACGTGCTGATCTGCATGTCCTTAATGTGCACAGCTTCGTGTTGGGGGATTACCTGTACTCTTTAACCCAACCCTGCATAGCATAGGCAGAGCTGGTCCCCTACACTTACTAAGGGGCTTTAGGTAAGAGATCCTCCCCTGGGTGCCATGACAGAGGCATCTGGATGCTCCTGATTCCTGTCTCTGAGGTCAATGCAGGATCTTAGGAGAAGCTTAGGATCCTATATTTTCACAAAGGACCCACCAGCATTGTGCAGGAACACATTGTTGCTAAATTTGTGATTCTCAGTTTTTTAGGATCCCACCAGAAGACCTCCACTTTACCAAGGCAAGAATGCCAGCACCATGTTTTATAAATAGGGAGTGGGGGCTGCCACATGTATATGTATATATACAGTACATGTATATGTGTATATACTGTATGTACCTGTGTGCAGGTGGGTGAGGGCTTTTTAGTTTTTCTATCATGAACTGTATGTACCCCTCAGTGTGGGGGCAGGTATTTTACCTTTTTTGTTTATATTTTTCATACTTTTTATTGGAATTTATTATGGTAATAAGAAGGCTTGCCTCGTATGTGACTATAATAAAGTAGAACAGATCCTCTGTTTGAGGTATTAGACCTCTGTAGCAGGGGCAGACTGACAACTCATGGGGCCCCCGGGCAATAGGGGATCATGGGGCCCCTGTGTCCTTGCCTACACTCAAAGCACAGCCAAAAAAAGCCTATGAAAAAGGTACCAGGGGCATCTCATGGAGCCCCCTACTGACCCTGGGCCCTCGGGCAGTGCCCGAGTTTCCAAATGGTCAGTCCGTCCCTACTCTGTAGTCTCCTCTGCCTGTACTTCATGCAGACCTAGGACACAGAGCCCTGACCAGCAGCTGCTGAGCCAGGAGTCTAACAGCTCTGAACCAGAAGTCTAACAGCTCAGCGTTGAACACTTTTGGGCAGGGGCAGACTGACCATTTGGAAACTCTGGCACTGCCTGAGGGCCCGGAGTCAGTAGGGGGCCCCATGAGATGCCCTTGGTACCTTTTTCATAGGCTTGTGGAGTTTGGGCAAGGACACAGGGGCCCCATGATCCCCTATTGCCCGGGGGCCCCATGAGTTGTCAGTCAGCCCCTGCTTCTGGATTCAGTGTAAGGAAAAAGATTGGAGAAATGGAGGTTTCCAAACGCCCTTCAACTCCCAACTCCTCAGCTCTCAGCGGTTTAAAGGTGGGCAGAAGTGACAAGGCTTTCTCTGAAGAAAAAGTGCATGTTCAACTATGTCCCTGGAATACTGATTCTTGAACGAGAGTGTCTATGTAGATTCTAATCAGCTGATGCACTTGCAGGGTTCCAATAAGAAAGTTGCAGTGTCTGCATCCCTTTATCAGTAATTAACCCTTTGGAAGTGTCTCACCAAAAATGATTGCCTAAAGCCTGACTTGTATCTTAGTGCAGACTTCTTGGAATATCAGTGAGCCAATCACACAAGCAGGAAATTAAATTTCTGGAGAAGTTGTGTACCCCAACTGAATACAGGATAGTGCTACATACAATTTAAGCAGCACTCCCAAAGGGCATATATATTTGTGAAGTAAATGGTTTGTTTGGACCAACATGATTCAGATGAACTATTTAACCACTTCAAGACTATATTGTTTCATCCCCTTCCTGCCCAAGCCATTTTTCTGTTTTCACCACTTGAATGACAGTTACTCATGCAACATTGTACCCAAATTAAGTTTTTATCATTTTTTTGGGACAGATAGAGCTTTATTTTGGTGGTATTAATTCACTATTGGGTATTTTATTTTTTGCTATATTAAGAAACTGTGAAAAAAAAAGTTTTTCTTAGTTTTTGTTTAAAAAAAATCTGTCTTCCTAAATTTGGGCCAAAATGTATTGTGCTACATTTCTTTGGTAAAACTAGCCCAAATTAGTGTGCAGGAGCCTGACATTGCACCCATAATTTGCTGATTGTAGGTGCAATGCTTTCCAGGCTGTAATGTAAAAAAATGTATATAAATGCACATTTTTTATATTCAAAAAAATGCATTTAATATTTTTTTAAAAAGTGAACCTATTCTTTAACAAAGTTTCTAGAGTGTATTTCCTATGCCCTGGTCCTTTTCCACCAGTGCAGTTCCACTGCCGTTATTACCATCAGCTTGGGAATTTTTTTTTCTATAAAACGGGACTATCTATAGTACAAGTGTCACTTAGAAATTCATTGAAACACTGTATTGTTACATTGTATTTACTCTGTTTCATTCATGTACAGCTCAAAGGGGTGTCTCTTGATCTACATATCACATCAGTTGAAGCAATCTATCAAGTAAAAGAAAAATTCATAAATTTGTTTCTCTTTAACCCCGCTATTACTCCGTAACGTATTCATTCCTAACTCATTCCCCTTCCCGGTAACTATTTTTTTCCTGCTCTTTTTTTTACTATCAGTATTTCATTTTTTTTAGCGTTTGTTATTGTCCTATTCCAAACTGCCTCACCATGATATGGCATTTCTCTATTAATGGGGCCCATTCTATGATTTTTCATACAAGCCAATTACTTTCAGAAAACACCCCTAACTTAAATGAATACAAGCTAACCATTGTAAGCACCCCTTTCTGTGTTAAATGGTTTGTCTGAACCCTCTTACTGCTACTTTGGCTTAATAGCTTGGTCTGTTAAAAGTCTAACAAAATAAAAATTGCAGACTTTCAGGACAGATCACCAGGTGAGGCGGTGTTGAACAGGTAATATATAGCACAATGTGCAGTCAGTTATCAAGTCTTCAATCAGTGTACAGCTGTTCTCCTGCAGCTCTAAGTTTGAGAACTGAGCATTCATAGGATTGGCATGACTGCCAGGCAATTAGAATTTTCAAAAGGATGTTGGCAATGACAGCCTCCATATTTCTCTTGGCCCAAATTTCCTTTAAATATTCAATCATTTCCTGTTCTTCCAGTAATGGTGGGGGGGGGTGGAATAATCCCACCATTTCCTAACCATTACAACTTCCCGATTATTTTCCTTTTCCATCCTGACCATACATCTCTCCTCTTCTTCTTTACCTTCCACACAGAACCATTCCCTATATTTTCTAAAAAAAAAAAAAAACATTTCATACACCTGCCCCTCTCCCATTTCTTTTTTTCTCTTTTAGATTAAATATACAAATCTAAAATGGTGATACTGGTCAATTTCTTCTTGAGATAGATAGGTACATTTTCATTGACCCTTGGTCAGATAATGTTACAGGGAATATGCAACTTACAGATGCTAACTGAAGGCAATTAGCCATTTAGATACTGCTGGTGTTAATGTTCCTTCATACTTCTCAAGTTTATTTGGGTCTTTGTGCCCTTTAAATGATAACCACCAGAGTATGCCACTATATGTCTTTGAAGACTACTGTATTTATCATTTTGTTGCATTACTTATAGAAACTTAATAATATTGAATTAAATATTTATTTAATTACAAATTATAAGGAAAATCAGTGGTATTGTAAGGATAATAAATTGCGATATATAGAGGCAGCAGGAATGACCAGATCAGTGAGCTACACTTAGGCTCCATTCTCACTAGTGTGACTTGTCATGGAACTTTGGACACAGGAGTTTATTTACTAAAGCTGGAGAGTGCAAAATCAGGCTCACTTCTGAATAGAAACCAATCAGCTTCTAACCTCTGCTTGGTCAACCAAGCTTTGGAAATAAAACCTGGAAGTCGATTGGTTTCCATGCAGAAGTGATTCTGATTTTGCATGTTCCAGCTTTGGTAAATAAACCCCATAAAGTCTCATGACAAGTCACAGCCCATTTACTTCAATGGCACCAGTTCCAATCTATGCAACTAAAGTCTCAGTGACTTTAAAAAAGGTTCCTGTACTACTTTGAACTTTCAGTTTACTTTAAAGGAAACTGGAATCAGACCAAAAATGATTATAGGTTGTAATAAAATTAATTAATGCACACAACACCCTACACAAACAAACCATAAGCAAAGCAAAAATGAAAAATAAACATGAAAGTGAAGCAAAACCAAACCAACAACCTAACTATAATACACTATGTACAAATAGAAGCTCACTTAAATATGACATGAGGAGGACTGGGACCAAGGGGAGCAGAGATGGGATAACAGAATGCAAGATACTGGACACATGGTACTGGACACAGGCAGGCAAGTCATTCATGGGGAGAACACTGAGACACAGATGAAAGTTAAGTGAAGGATTATATACAATCCCATCTTCAGGTGGAGCCTAATTACTGGGATCGGCTGCTGCTGGCAGATACTCATTGGTGTTCACCAGATCTGTGCCCTTTTACTCTTGGAACCATAGTGTCAGCAACAGGTGATCCAAGTCCTGTGTACCTATAGTTCTTTCCATAGTAACTACTTTGGGTGCCATCATGAATTCCCACCCACATTGAATCTTCTTTTGACTTGTTCCCTTGGGTTCTTGAAGAGTAACACTTCCACAGCTCCCGGGTGAGACTCCCCTGGAGATCACCATTTGGAATTACTGTCATATGTATTTTTAGCTGATTTTTAAGTATTAGGGTTCCTCCGGTGACTCTTAAGATTGGAAATACTTTGTATATTACAAGATACCACTAGGTATGCTACATACTTGATGTTTTACCTTGCAGATATTATACATGCAACTACTCCTGAAGAAGTGAACAAAGAGTCATGAAACACGTTATTGCGAGTTTTTGAATCCTTTTTTTATGTAATTATGTACTGACATCTGGATTGTATACGGTCAATAGTATATCCAATTATGTATGAAATGCATTGATATGGATTTATTACAAATCAGCTTGTTACCATTTTATCCTCTTTTTGTATGTAATGAGAAGGTTATTAATTTATCCAAAATTAATGTTGGAAACTGGTTATTTGTTGGTCATGTGTGTTGTGCCTCATTTAAAGTCCCAGGACAATTAAATTGGTTGTACGGATATATTAAATGATAGGAACAAATCACTGGGTGCATCAGGTTACATTCTATTTTTGTAGTCCTGACAGATAGCATGATACAGACACATCCAATTTGGAGAGATAGTGTGCCAAAAAGTACAGCTTTGCTCTAAATAGGTCACTTAATCCCAGGTTACAAAAAACCTTTAGCAGAACAATATATAAAGATGTTAGCACAAGAGCTATAATTTTGCAACACATTTTGCAATGAGCTTCATCAGAAAGACATAATACACAACAAGGCTCTGTATACAGATAACAGTTAAAGCAGATCTCCAGAAAAAAAAAAATCCCCCATGCAGTGGGGCTGTGCCTGCACTGTATGGTTTAACTGCTTGTTTTGTCCAGGGGCTATACTCACCCGATTCTTTGATCCTCCAGAAAAAAAAATCCCCCTACGTCCAGCTGTGGATTGTTCCTGCCATCTTCACGTCCAGAGCCTATGGGTATGATGACGTCAGGAATAGTGAAATGCACAAGACCTCTAGATCATGCGGGGATAGAAGGGGAGGGGTAGCAGGGACCAGTCTTGCACTGGGAGGATCGGCAGATTAACCCATGCAGTGGGGCGTTTCCAGGAAAGGTATGTACATAAATATAACAAAAACCAGGCACATTATTTTCTATCCAATGTATTGGTAACACACTCACGTGCTCAGGGGCTCCCATAGGGCATTACCAATCACACACCAAGGTGGTACCTTAAAAGTTCCACCATGTATGTAAACCTCTTATTTTGGGGATGTGGTGCCCAGGTGGTCATGCATCGATCCCAGTTCCTAACTGTGTTGATAACATGAAAATGCACTGTCAACATGCAGTTTTACCTTATGGCCTGGCTTGCTCTGAATGTTGAATATGAAAATGAAGTAAAGATGTCATGTGCAGAGTCTTTTAGATCATATCCTAACACTCAAGGTTGAAGGTTTGAGGTGCGATTTGCAAGACATCTGACGCAGATGTCAATGCAAATCGTTCCAAAAGTAGTGCATGCACTACTTTAGAAATCAGCGCTGCTCCGACCAAGTTGGAACCACACCGATATAACCGCTCTGATAGCAGACAATAGGGTGCGACTTGGAATACAACTTGAAAGTCATATGGCATGCAATTCACATGCCAAGTCACACCCAATGTGACTGTGGTATAAGA